ATTCCATTCCATTCTTTTTTCTATTCCATTCCAGTCTGCATTCTATTCTATTCTATTCTATTCCATTCTAAATCCTATCCTATTTTCTATTCTATTCTATTCCATGCCATATTCTATATTCTCTTTTTTATTCCATTCCATTGTTTTCTATTCCATTCCATTTCATTCTGTTCTATTCTATTCCATTCTATATTCTATATCCTATCCTATTTTCTATTCCATTCCATTCCGTTCTCCATTCCATTTTATTCTATTCCATTCTGCATTCTAGTCTATTCCATTCTAAATCCTATCCTATTTTCTATTCTATTCCATTTCATTCTATTCAGTTCTGCATTCTATTCCATGCCATACTCTTTTTTCTCTTTTCTATTCCATTCCATTCTATTCCGCTCTGCATTCTGTATTCTATTGTCTTTTCTATTCCATTTCATTCTGCATTCCATTCCATTCTCTTTTCCTATTCTGTTCCATTCCATTCCATTCTATTTAATTCTGCATTCTATTCTATTTAATTCTGCATTCTATTCTATTCTATTCTGATTCCATTCCATATTCTATTCCCTCAACGCCCATGTGGCTCACTTAACAAGGCCTGCGAGACCCTAAACGACGATGTAAAGAACAGTCGTAAAAAGAGGCAAGCCTCCCTTCACCACTGTCTCAATTAGCAACGGAAATGTTTTTTGTGCTTGCAAACAGAACGCGGGGGGGAGCGAAGGAGGCTGGAGAGTAATTTCAGAGAGGGTTAGGAAGGGGAGGAGTTGCGGGCCGTGTAAAGTTACTCGCCATGCGGGAAGGAGAGGATGGGGTGGAAGCCAGAGTCCAGCAGCGCGATGCGTTCCTCCAAGGACATGGCCTCTGGGTCGAGGGTAGGCAGTGAGGCCTTGAAGTTGCACAAAATGCAGGAGTTGGGCTGCTCGCAGGTACACTTCAGGCTGAGCGGCTTCGGCGGCTGCGGGGTGAGAGAGAGGACACAGTGATAATTACGACTTGAACAGCTCTTCGGTCCCCTGGGCCAACTTGAAAGTTGGTTTGGGGGGTTCATTGCTGGAGGCTTGAAGAAAACCAATGGGACAGCCAGTGATCTGAAACAGCAGAGGGTTCTTCCGCTGGGAGCAGGGGGTTGGACTAGAGGACCTCTGAGGTCCCTTCCTTTGTTCTAGGATTCTGTTCGGTTCTCCCGCTCGAGCAGGGGGTTGGACTAGAGGACCTCCAAAGTCCCTTCCAACTCTGTTGTTCTGTGATTCTGTAAGGGTCTCCAGCTCGATCAGGTTGGTCTAAATGACCTCTGAGGTCCCTTATAACTTTGTCCTTCTATGATTCTGTAAGGGTCTCCTGCTTGAGCGGGGGGTTGGACTAGAGGACCTTTGAGGTCCCTTCCGACTGTTACACTGAGGAAAAGGAGAGAGGACTGTGGGGTCCTGGGTACTCTCTGAGCTGGGTTTTTTTCCTGCAGATGTTTCATGACCCAACTAGGGAACATCATCCATGGCAGAAAGGAGTAAGATTATATTGTATGTCTACAGAGAGCAAACCCCACACTCCTCTAGCACTGATGATGTTCCCTAGTTGGGTCATGAAATGTCTGCAACAAAACCACCCAGCTCAAAGAGCACAAAGGATCCCTCAGTTCTTCCTTCCTTTCTTTCTCCCTTCTTTCCCACTTTCCTTCCTTCCTTCCAGCCCTGGTAATATTCCCTAGTTGGGTCATGAAATGTCTGCAAGAAAACTACTAAGCTCAGAGGTCCCACTCCTTCCTTCCTCCCTTCTTCCTTCCTTCCTTCCTTGAGGATGTTCTCTAGTTTGGTCATCACCCAACTCAGAAGGACCCCATTTGAAATGTCTGCCTCGCCTTCCAGCCTTACCTTTCGGTTCAGGTGAGTGATGGAGCTGAGTCTCACCAGCCGGCGCTTCTTGTACCTGCAGATGGGACGGATCCGGGCTGCCACACAGCTGTTGTCCAGAGCCGAGGCCACGCCGGGCAGGCTGTGGTTCACCAGCGGGGGTTTCGTGAGGTGCCACTCAGCGGCCGGGCCTTCAGCAGAGCTGCCGCTGGTGGCACAGGTGCTCAAGCTGGGAGGGTCAAAGAAGAAAACCATGAAAGATATCTCGGACGCAACTTAAACAGGGATGCTGGACCTTCCTGCCCAGAGTGCTTGCAAAAGAAATCGGCAGGAAACGAATAGAACAACTATAAGGGGTCAAATTATGAGCGTTCAAAGGTGCCAACATTCCCAACCAAAGGGCCTTATCAGCCCGGTTCAGGCTTGCGACGTGGCCCCCACAAAATCACATGACGGCATTGTGGCACCACCCCTCATTTACATTTCTATTGGAAAGTAGCTCTTGGAGAGAGAAACTAGCTGAAAGAGAGAGAGAGAGAGAGAGGGGTGAGTGGAAATGAGAGAGAGAGAGAGAAAAAAAGAAAAAGGGAGGAAGGAAGAAACAAAAGGGAGAGAGCAAGTAAAGGAGGAGACGAAGGAAGAAAGAGAGAAGGAAGAAGAAAGGGGAAAAGGAGGGAGTGAATGAATAGAGGGAAAGAAAGGAAAAGAGAAAGAGAAAATGAAAGAATGAAAGAGAAAGAAACAAAGAAAAGATGATGGAAGGGAAGCAAGAGAGAGGCAGGAAGGAAGAAAAGGAAGAAAGCAAGTCAAGGAGGAGAGGAAAGAAGAAAGAGACAAGGAAGAAGGAAGAAAGGAAAAGAGGGAGGGAAGGAATAGAGGGAGAAAGATAGAAAAAGAAAAAAAGAAAATGGAAGAATGAAAGAAAGAGGGAGGGAGGAAAGAAGGAAGAAGAGATGGTAGGAGGGAGGGAGGCAAGAGAGGCAGGAAGGAACGAAGAAAGAAAAGAAGAGGGAGAGAGCAAATAAAGGAGGAGAGTGTTCTGTTTTTAAATTGCTGACTAAATATAAAATCAGTTAGATAAACTCTACAAAGGCTTCCGTACAAAGTTTCTTTATTGGATTGTAATAGGCATCCTCAAGGTATAACTCAGAGTTATGTCGAGATTCACCTAATGTCCAAATCTTTGCATAGTTGACTTCATAGTATGAAAATACAGTTATCTTCATCCCATAACGATGGAGCAAAGGGATCCAGCATGCTGCTGGGTCCAGACAAGAAAGGAACAAAGGCTTCCGCCAACCCAACTAGAGGTCAGTTCAGTGACCAATCAAGATTACAGATGTGACCACATGACATGAACTACATTTCCCATGAGGCATTCCCTTTAAGGGGACAGCTCCGAATTCCTAATTAACCATATACTGTCTGGACAGCACAGAGAGGAAGGAAGAAAGAGACAAGGAGGAAGGAAGGAAGGGAAAAAAGGAGGACGGGAAGGAATAGAGGGAGGAAGAAAGGAAAATAGAAAAAAAGAAAATGAAAGAATGAAAGAGAAAGGAAGAAAAGAAAGAAACGGGAAAGAAAGGACAGACAGGGTGGGAGGGAGAGAGGCAGGAAGAATGAAGAAAAAAAGGAAGAGGGAGAGGAAGTAAAGCAGGAGAGGGAGGAAAGACAGAAACAGAGAGGGAGGGAGGAGGGAGGGAGAGAAGGAATTCGTTTTTAATGTTGACCAGTCTGTTCACAGTAAAAAATAATAAAGGTTATTTTATCTCATCTTATCTTATCATCCTATCCTATCCTATCCTATCCTATCTTCTGATTCCAGAAAGCAGGAGAAGCTAACAAGCCAGGAGATCAGAGGCTTGTCCAAAGCACCAAAGCAAAACAATTTCTATATATATATATTTGAAGAAGGGGGAAGAGATTAAAATCAGCAAACTTCCAGACCTGTCAGCTTAATGCTGATGCAGATGCTTGGAAGATTCCAGAGAAAAGGATCAAAATACAGTATAAATGACCTTGAAAAAGGGATGGCAACCACAATGAGCTCTTCCTTATAAATTTCATCCACTTCAATCTTGCAGGATAAATACAATGATCTGTTCACTATAAATTGTACCCCACTTAAATATTGCAGGATAACCACCACAATCTGTTCATTATAAATTTACCCACTTAAAGCATCATCATCTTTGTTTAACGACCCCGTCATCCCTTGCTAGCAGTGTTTACTGGCCGGATGCCCTTCCTGTTGTTGATGCAGAGT